AAAAATTTTCCACCTAGAACCTGGCTGCCCACCTAGCAAAGAAGGCTGGCTGCAGAGCTGGGTGGTAGTTCCTGTTTTTACTCTCAAATTACTGCTTATGTTTCTTACAATTTCATTATATTCAGGACTTGCTTTTTCCTTCTATTCCACAATGTGCCAACTATTACACTCTACTAGACACAACTTTATATTGTGCAAGCATATATGTGTTCTTGGCCACCAATAGAAAATCCCTTTTTCTCAGGGGATTGTAAGATTGTGCATTCTGATCCCAGCTGCCATGGCAAACATTTCTTTCCTAAATCCAGGGCTGTTGAAGTGTGCAGAAAATGAGGAAAGCTTGTGCCCTGCAACCTATTGAAGGTGTGGCTTGCCTTGTGATCTTCTATACATCTTTTTGACCAAATCAAATAAGGCTTTGACCTGTACACAGATTATGAAGCATAAAAGATAAACGAACTTCTCGGTTTGGGAATCCCTGGGCCATTATGAATTGGGCCCAACCCCCTCCCCCTTAACATTTTATCTCAGCTCATAATTATTTGGTGACAGAGATATCATTTGATACTTACCTTCTCTTTTTTATTATTTATTAAAAATAATATTTGCAGACCATTTGTCATAAAAAAGACAACAAGACAATATTTCTCAAGTTGCTTGTGGGCATGTGAAAAGGCATATGGGGCTACAGCTGAGAGGTTTTCTGAGCTGTTTGTGCAGTGAATTATGGGAAGTACTTTTCATTTCTCATTGACTAGTATAAATAAAGAAATAGAGCAGGCGTTCCAAATGTGCCTAGACAACTCCTTTCATCCTCCACCATTGGCAAGGTTGACTGGATCTGAAAGGGTCACAGGCTCTAGAATTTTCTGATTTAAACCTGGGGCTATGCTAACCTGTTTCTCACTTAGCTGTGGAGATCTCAGAGTCTGTTTTGACATCCTTGAAAGATTTTTTTTTAATTCTTCTCATTGACCAGAATGGATAATAATAATAATACTGCCTAACATCATCCGAGTTTGAAGATGTGGGCATGTTCAGAAACCTTCATTCCAGAGAGCTGGGAACTTTGGAAGAGCCTTTGCTATTGTTTTCGTTCCTTTTCCATCTACCAAACCACAAAGGGGTTCAAGAAAAGGGAACCCGTCACTAACAGGACTAGGAATTTTCCAAAAAGTACTGGGCCAATACAAATTGGGATGGCTAGGTTTTGCCCATGCCTATAAGCTATTTGTTAAGATTCAGATTGTGTTCCTTTCTGCGTATGTCTGCTTCATCTATAACTGAGGGTCAAATAACAGAACGGGGAAAGAATTCCCTTCCTTTTAAAATCCTAATTAAACTAATGTTGCACATATTGGTAGTAATGGGTTTAAGTGCCTTTCTAGAGACTTACCACATATAAGTAAGGGTCAAAATACAGCATTAATTAATTTAGATACTTCTAGATAGTCTGCTTTACATATTCAAGTTGGGGGGAAAGATGTTCCTTGTAACGTCTGTTGTTTACCCTCACTAGAGCTGACATTTAATTGTACCAAAGAAAGAGATGATTACTTGAAGCATAACATCACACTTTCTCCACTTAAAATCTTAAAGAAATTGTTGGCAGGATAAATAGCGGGTACAGATATGAGTGGGTGAGTCATCTTCTCAAGAGAATATGGTAAAAGAAGAAGTCTTCTTTAATGTCTCTGTGAATACAGAAGGTTTACAGACTCAATTCATTCTTAAGCAGCCTCCAGAGGAATTTAAGCCTAGGTTTTGAGTTTTTATCAACCATGTTGCCCATTCATTTCTACACACATAAAGACTTCCTTAACTATGGCTTGCACAGCTTAATATGCTTTCTTCTCCCATATCTTCATTTTCCTCTGGCTTTGTCAATACTTTTTCAGAGTTGCCTTCTTGAACTGTGGGCAAGTGCCCACCATGGGTCTCAGCCCTGCAGCCCATCCTCAGGTCACACAGGAGCCTTTTGGTTACACAGAAAAAAGTAGCTGCAGTAGCTGCAGTTGCAATAATAATAATAAAAAAATGGAATAGAGACAAAGGGGATAAGAGTTGGAAACTATTCTAGGAAGAAGCAGTGAATGAAAGTTGAGCAGGAACAAGGGATGGAAGAAACTGGCTATCTGAGGGTGAGCATGGGGTTTGAAAAAAGAAGAAATGGCAGATGAGTGAAAATACTCTGAGAGTCATGTTGGGCAGAACAGAGAAAACACAAAATGGAAAAGCTTTTTCTACTTACAACCTCTGGATCAGCAAATTCTGCCTAAACTGAAGTAGACTGAGTCACAAATTCTGCAATGGCAAGGACTGTAATTAGCACTGGAGAAAGCTACTCCTAGCCTCAAGGATTTAGCAATTTCAAAAATGGATTAGGTATCAATAGAAAATCATGCCATCACCCACTCACCATTTACCCCTCCCATCTTTCCCTCCTAACCTAATACAGTGGTACCTCATGTTGCGTAACCTCCAGGTTATGGAATCTTCGGGTTACGGCCGCAGCAAACCCGGAAGTGTATACTTTGCCGCTCGCGCATGTGCAGAAGTGCTCTGCACGCCATGCATATGCGCAGAAGCACTCTGTTGTGCCGCATGCATGCGCAGGAGCAGCGCCTCTAGTTATGGTTTTTTCAGGGTGCACACGGCACCCTGAAATGAATTAACTCCGTAACCAGAGGTACCACTATACTGTATGCAATACTAATGTCTCACAACAAATTAAACTGATCTGTAGAAAAAAGAATTTGAAAAAGAGACAATGCATGCATTTTTGTAAATGACGAAATCTTTAATTAAAATATATGAAAATAATAATAATAATCTGATTGTGCCAGTCTCTGCTTCAAGCTGTTTATTGTTTCCTCCATTGCATTGCTATTTTGTGACCTCTGCCATTTTTAGCCCTCTCAAACATACCATCTGGGTGGAAAGTTCAGATCCCCTAACTTACCGTAATTTTTGTAAGAATCTACTGATTTTATTGTATCTTTAATATTGTCTCTTTAATATTGACTCTTGCCGGGTTGTGCTTCTGCTGTTACAAGAATTCTTAGTATGTGCTATGTGGCATATTCAGTACAAAATGGTAACCAGACCTGGAATGTTGCTCAGAACTAGGATTGCTGGACAGCTAGCTATAAATTTAAGAGCAATGTCAGGGCCTGGGGGAATCTGCATGGCGTGCCTCAGTAATTCAAGTAATGCATTGAACATAAAGCATGGTGCCCCAGAGTCAAATTAATCATATTAGGGGATCGGTCCTGCTCCCGCTAAAGCAAGTCAAATTAACAGTTGACTTTTAATAGGAAGATTTCATAGGACTTTCACACTCATAAAGTCACACTCATTAGGCTCTGTACAATATGTAAATATCTGTAAACTATTAGCACTCTCACTGCAAAAAAAAACCCCTCTCCTTACTTGCTGGTTGATTCAGATAGTTAGCAAAGGGCATATTAGCACAGAACTCTTACGCACATCTAAAATTAAATGTACACACTGGGCAGAAGGGTTTAATTATAACAGAAATAGCTTGTGCCGAAATGCAGCTCCATTGTTTACTTGCTAGAATTTGAAGCTGATCCTTCTAACTGCATTCTTAATAAATATTTTGACTCCTATGTCCCCCCCCTCCGAATCTTCCCCAACCCTTTTATAAGCATGTTTTCCAGCTGTCCCTATTCACTAGGTACAGTCCCAGTATCCTGGTATTTGTCTCTCTCATGAATCACTGTCCATATTTTGTTCCTATTTTGCCCTTTTGGGAACATCTTTTGAAAATGCCATTACGGTGCACTGCTGGAATTTTCATTCTTTAGAATTCAGCTTCCTCTAGCAGGTCTCAGGAGCTTAATTTTTTTTTTTTTTTTTGAAGGGGCGGGGCACCCCCAAGGCTGCCCATTGAATGCCTGATAGCAGGCTAATTGAATTTTTTATATACATTACACTCATTTCAGCAGCCCATACTTGCAGTGAGGTCACAGGGACTTTATAGGGAGACAGCAGAGCAGCAGTGAGGAGCAGCGAGTGGATTTCTTTTCACTCCTATCCCTGCAATAGTGAAATAAATATGAAACAGCTTTACCTTTATTTTATTTTCTGCATTTTCTACAACAAATTCATATTTTGTGGGATGTAAGAGAGATGGGAGGCAAGCAAACCAACAAAATCCAAGCTATCATTGCTTCAGTTCTCACTGCTACCACCAAGTGGATATATTTAATCCCTGGCTTCTTCAACAAAACAGCTCTTTAACCTCTTTAATCTACACTCCCTTTCTGTACTAGGTTGTACCGTAAACAAATTAGACATGCGGTAAATAGTAAGGTCACAAAGTGAAAACAAAAGAAATTTAGCTCTTGCTAAAAGTTTTTGGATAGCAGAAATTTAAATGGCTATTGTTATTTTTTTAAAGAAAATTTAAACAGTTTGAACCATAAGAACAAATAAAAATAACATAGGCAAACACATTCAACAAGACCTAATCTCAGGCTGTTTCTGTACCCAGGCCAAAACCCTGCAATAAAGCAATTCCCAGCGCTGTCAGTGCTCAGATCTTTAGTGGATTCAGAAAACTGAATACTTTGCAGCCTTCTGTCTTTTTTCTTGCTTCTCCAACAGCATTCCAACTGTGACGCTGACATTACTTCCACTGTTTGAGTTCTTCTTTCCAATAATTTATTTTGTGTCTTCCTCTCCCCTCTCCACTTTTAACTCTGTAGGGTAATCTTCACCATACATTTAATGCACTCTTATACCACTTTAAGAGCCACCGCTTCACCCAAAGCTTAATGGGAAATGTAGTTTCTTAACGTCCTAACAATTATTATTGCTCTTTAGAAACCACACTTCTGAAGATTTTTTTTTGGGGGGGGGGAAGCCATGGCTCTTAAAGTGTTTAAGAGTGCTTTAAAAATAAATTTAAGAGGACATGTCATCTTATGGATTGATATTTGGTAAAGAACAGGAAACAGAGAGAAGGTGTACGGTGGGTCCCCAGATGTTGTTGAACTACAACTCCCATCACCCCTACCTAGCCAGGCCAGAGCTCAGGGATGATGGGAGTTGTAGTCCAACAACGTCTGGAGACCCACAGGTTGAGAACCGCATAACAGAAGGATGTAAAGGGTCCGCCAAGGATCAGTATTGGGACCTGTGCTTTTAAACATGCTTTAAACTTTTAAGACACTACGGAGAGTTAGGGGTGAGTGGCAATGAGGCCACATTTACTAACACCAAATTGTTCGGGTTGGTAAGGTCGGAGAAGAGATTGTGAGGAGCTCCAGAAGGATCTCTCCAAACTTGGTGAATAGATATTAAAATGACAAACATGATTCATTATAAGCAAATGTAAAATGATGCCAATTGGGGCAAAAGAATAATAATAATTCTTAGCTGCATATGCAGTTTATTGGAACTGGTGATGATTGGTGCTACAAGTATTATTTTATTTTGTTATTTTATTTAATTTTGTATGTTATCAGCTTCCTTTTCCCCCTAAGCAGACAGAGGGATAAATTTAGAGCTGGTTTTATGGTGTTCATAACCTTCTAGCTAAGATGATATTTTGTTTGTGAACATATTGATACTGAGCCCAGAGAGGCAGCAACTGCCAGGAACTGAAGGCTGTTTAATTAAAATCAAAAACAGCTTTATTGTTCCCAGACAGGAGTTGGCCCTATTGAGGGCTTAACGGGTGGCATTAATCTTGAAAATAGAAGGCAAAGCTCAAAAATAGCATGATAAAATATTGAAATTTCTTGTAGTATAAATATCTTGTATGAAACAAATCTTCAATTCCCAGGATGTTTCTAATATGACCTCTTCTTAAAAGAAGCTTTTGGGAAATTATGAAACTAACACATTATATATATATATATATATATATATATATATATATATATATACACACACACACACACACACACACACAAAATGCACATACAATTTAAGGACATAATCTAACACAAATACATGCTACTTCTTATCCTGAAGATATTATGGCCCTCTTGCCTTATATCCATTGGCAGCCTTATCTTCAGTGACAGTGTCTCATTTGGCTGTCCCGAGTCTCACCATTCAGCTTTCTTTGATGACCCAGGGCTCTAGTGTTTTGAGAAAGGCAGAAAAAAATGTCCCTCTATCCCCTTTCTCTGCACAATGTGTGTTTGAATATACCTTTACCATGTCTTCTCCTTATCCTTTTTGAAGCATGACAACCAGAAAAGGACACAAAGCAGTCCAAGAGCAGTCCCACCATAGATTTGTATAACGGCATAATAATATTGGCAGTTTTATTTTCAAATATTTTCCTATTGTTTCCTAAAAAGGAATTTACCTGTTTTACTGCTGCAACACCCTGGGTTTACATTTTCATGGAGCTATCTGCTCTGACCCCAAGAGCCATTTCCTCATCCGTCATCACTCCATTAGTGATTGTTGTTGCTGTTTAGTCGTTTAGTTGTGTCCGACTCTTCGTGACCCCATGGACCAGAGCATGCCAGGCACTCCTGTCTTCCACTGCCTCCCGCAGTTTGGTCAAACTCATGCTGGTAGCTTCGAGAACACTGTCCAACCATCTCGTCCTCTGTTGTCCCCTTCTCCTTGTGCCCTCAATCTTTCCCAACATCAGGGTCTTTTCCAGGGAGTCTTCTCTTCTCATGAGGTGTCCAAAGTATTGGAGCCTCAGCTTCACGATCTGTCCTTCCAGTGAGCACTCACGGCTGATTTCCTTAAGAATGGATAGGTTTGAGCTTCTTGCATTGGTGATTAGTAATCAGTGATTAGTGTTAGATTAGTATTTTGCCCAAATATGCATTATTTTACACTTATTCACATTGAACTTCATTCTCCACAGCTGGGGTAGGATGCACTCATTTCATGCTGTATTTTAAATTTGGTATTGTCTGGTTTGTTTGTTTGTTTGTTTGTTTGTTTTTAAATAATGTAAGTTGCTTTGACAACTTTGCTATAGTAAGTGCCAAATAACTATAATAAACAAATAATTAAAAAATCCATCTTAATGCAGGTCTTTACAATCTCTTTTTGTCTTTACAGCTTTAGCTATTTTCAAATATCATACTGCTTCAGAGTAGTAGAAGTGACTTTCATACTATTAAGTCCAATTAGTCTCAATCTGCAGGTCACTAGCACTAGCACAGCACTGATAATCACATACCGAGGAAATGATTGCACATTCCCAGTATCCATCCCGGTGAAAGGTGTTTTTCCTCTCTCCTGTTCTTTAAAAACTTGACAGAAGGCATAATTTGAACATCCAAATACAACCTCACCTCACAGAGAAAATCAAGAAAGGGCACATTCTGAGGCGGTAGGGTTATAAAACACCTTGGATACTTCAGTAAACAGTATCATTATTAATCTGGCGTTATCTTAGTCTACCAAGAATTGTTTAAATATTATTCAGCTTTCCCTTTCTTGCAGTTAACTGCACCGTAAAAGGACAAAAATTAATAATGGAAGCAGTTTCTGTTACAACTGAAGTAAACTCTGGTGCATGAAATGTAATAAAAGGTCTTCATGACACTTCATGACACAGCTCGTTGTCTTCATAATTATACCTCACACAAAGTAGCCCACCTAGATAAGCAAGCACCTGTATTCTGTTTGTTTAGTTAGGAATATAGGAAGATGCGTTAAGTTGAGTCAGGCTATTTGGTCTATCTAGCTCAAGTACCATCTACTATGACTGGTGATGGCTTTCTGGGGTTTCAGATGATGGACAGCCCCATTTCTACCTGGAGATCCCAAGGATTGAACCCGGGACCTTCTGCACACAAGTTAGATTTCCGCCACTGAGCTACAGTCATTCCCCCAAGTCACACTAGTTTGCTCCTCCAGTCACACTGAAGGGAAGCGAGTTTGGCTAGAAGAGAACTAAGTAGAGGGCATGTGCAGCTTTGAAAGGCTTTTAGAGGTGAGCTGTTATAAGCGCCAGAAGAAAATAAAAAGGGGAGAGGAAATCAAGTCAAAGCAGATATTGAATTACCTCTGTCACTCTACAGCTCAAAGATTCTTGCTTATTTTGGTACATGCAAGAAAAATGAATAGTTCCAGGTTCAACTCCCTGACTCTCCTGTACTCCAAAAACAATCTTCCTTTCCCCCTTTGCATCTCTATGAACATCGTCTTATTGGAAATGAAGGAATAACAGCATGCAAAAAGAACCCTGTTCTGTGTGGTCAGCTATCATAAAACAGCCTCTGCTTGTGGTACCAACAGGCACTGAAGTGGTCACCACACAAGTGACTCAGCTACATTAGTAAAGCAACAAGCATTTTAATGTGTTATAAATATGCAACACCAGATGGCACCAGAGAGCAGAAATTTTTTCTACATGATTTTCCATAGGGTTTTCCCCCTTTTGTTAAAACAATCTAATTTCTGACTTATTTATTGAGGGTTTTTTCCTGTGCGTAGATCCACCCTAGAGGTGGCCATAGGTTTGCCTCTGATTTATCCCTTGCAGTCTTGATTGCCAATGTTGTGATAGGCAGAATTCCGCTACTTAAGGCAAATTGCCACCATCTAAAAAGGAACATTGTGTTTACTTATAATATTTTTGGCCCTAATAAGGTTGTTTATAGTCTGTCTTTTATCCCAGGAGAGTTCATACAACAATTAAATACATAGAAACAATTTGATGCAATAAAACCAAAGTCATGGGAGGGTGGGATAGTCAGTGAATTTTTGAAAGTAGAAATGTAAAGAATGGAGGATTATTGATTACATATTTAAGAAAGAGAAGAAAGAGCAAGTTTCCTGAATTTCATAGTGACCCAAGAGTCTGTGGTCACAACTATATATTGAGGTTCTAAGAGTAGATGGGTGCAAGTCTTTGGATGTAACCCACAGTCCATCCACCTTCCAAGAAGCAAAGACTTATTTTGCCCTCTTTTTTGGCACACACACCCATTCTAAAAGGGGTATAATGCGAAAGTTAAATTAATTTGTGTGCTATTTAAAATGAAGAAACAGAAAGAAGTACGAGTCAGTGTTATTGCTTGTTAATTTGCAAAATTTACTAATCCCCAACGGGTCAGCAAGTAGTTAGTGAAATTCAGCTGAATTGGGATGATAGCATAGTTTGTAATATAATCAAGAAGGAATTAATTAAACTGCACTTTCAATGTATGTTCCATCCCACTTAATGAAATATCCCACTTAAACAGAAAGCTTCCAACACAGGAAACTATCTTGCATTAATATGGTATAGAAGTGCCCATTCACTATCATTTCAAAGGATATGATTTTGCTCTTTGCAATGTCAATTGAAAACTGCTATTTTCTTTTATTCCAATGACCATTTAATCTCAATTACGCCACAGGAGAGGTTTCCAGTTCTAAAATGTATCTGATGCTTTCCTTTTTTAGATGCAGCAACAACTGTTACATTTTATAGCACACACATTACAGCTTCAGGTTATAACACCTTAATATTAGAGATGGGCAAACTGCCCATAATCTTATATGTAATTAATTTGGAATAAATGGACTGATTTCCCAGTTGTCAAAAAGTTATTATGAACTTCAAATTAAGTCTGAATCAATCCCTTGGGCTGTGCTAGGCCTTAACTTGGTCTCAGACCACACAAATCAATCAATCTCTCTCTCTCTCTCTCTCTCTCTCACACACACACCCTATTTCCATTACTTACAGCAGGCTAAAGGAACATGGACATGAGTATTGTCAGAGGATTGTGCATTAGGAAAGGAGGAGGGATTTTTTTGGTCTGCTGCTTGCAGGACTTGGGGGTAGAAGTCCAGGGTCCTGCTCAGCAGAGGGGGGGGGGGAGGCTCCCAAGTGCACCAGCACTGGCTTACCACATTTTGAAGTTAGCAATATACTTTTCCATATAAAGATTTTTGCACATGGCAATAATCCAATCTGGAAGGTACCAGGGCATTGAGTACCACGGCCAAGTCATCTCTGTCCAAAAAGGGACTTAGTGAGCTAGCCAGAGATGGACAAAACCACTCCTAGCCACTAAGGTCACCTGATTCTCCAGTGACAAAGTTGAATCCAAGAGCACCTCCAAGCTACATACCTGTTCCATGGGAGTGCAGTCCCCA